AAGCCTTATATTCTAAGTATTGTAGTATTTATCCGCGAAATTTTCGTACTAATATTTGCATATCTGTTGTTTTGACTTCAACATTTTGGCTGATGCATTCTTCAGCCTTCCTCAAGTAATCTTTGCATCGAACCTTTTGTATTGAAACTAATCGGTCATTACTACTGCAATCAATAAGATCCTCATTGATGAATTGGCGTTTAAGTTTTTTTTATTGAATTAAAAATTATATCAAGTATATGTCAGTTGATTGAGAGACATATTTACCTTATGACAATAAGCGTTATTATTTAATGGATGCGCGTGCTTGAATTGAGATTTACGTCAACCGGCGAAGTTATCGAGAAGTCATTATTAAAGCAAAATGTGCCTTGTGAAAGTATTCCCTGTTCCCATAAAGGTAATCACATTATTAGGCAAACCATTATGCTAAAGTAAGAATCAGTTACCTACTTAAGTTATGTACATCTATCTTTGGAACCGTTCGAAGTCTATATCTGGTAATTTTATTCTCGGGTACGAATATATATATATATATATATATATATATATATATATATATATATATATATATATATATAGGCATCAATCCTTCTTTCATGCACATTTCATTGAATACGACAGACATGGTGTTTTTATTTAGTTTTTTATACAATTTCCCATGCGATCTAATTTTTTTTTTCTTTTCGGATGATAAATTATATAAAAACTGTCCGAATGTTCTTTTTATCCGAGCGCTTTCGGCTATACATTTAGCCATTTTCAAGGATTAAATATTTTAACTGTTAAATAAGAAATAGCTTGTATGTATGTTTTATAAAATGCTTTCATTTTTGAAAACACAGTCAAGATGTTGTGTCCGTGTTCAAAGTTAATATTATTAAATGTTGATTTATTTATTCTGATGAATAATGCTTCCATCTTGAATGTTTATTCAATGAAATGAAATATATATATATATATATATATATATATATATATATATATATATATATATATATGAGAAACTACGCACTCAAAACATTTTTCAAAATAGTAAATGACATGAACAGCGCAATGCTTTTTAAACATATGTGGGCGATTAAAAAGAAAAAAAAAAACGAAAAAAAAAACAAAAACGAAAAGACACCAAAAAATATCATGGAAAATTAAAGAAAAAAACATCAGCCTAGAACAATCAATCCAAAAACTGTAAACTATGCCTGGAGGAAAAAATAGCTATAATTACATACCCAGACTAAAACAAACTACTAAATAAACGATCAGAAAACGCAGACACGGTAATAAATTTTTACTACGTTACTTAAAATCGAAAACTGAATACGAACAAGAATAAATAAAAGCAAATAAATAAGATAAATAAACAAAAACAAGTAAAATAAATGAATGCAAACAAATAACTAAGTAAATAAACTAAGTGAATAATAAACAAATTAACAGAGCACGTACGCACAGATAAACACAAGAAAACGTAATAATAAATAAAAAGTTAACTAACTACACTATAAATTACCTAAAAGCTGCATTCGCATCCTCAATTATCTCCACTCAATAGCCCCCAGAATAATTCGAAACCGTTAACGCCTACCAAAATAATTGTGAGAATAATACAATAGACTACCAACAATGCATCACCGATTTGTATATGTAAATAGTCGAGCAAAACACAATATTAAATGCCTGACGATTGCGTTTATATATATATATATATATATATATATATATATATATATGTGTGTGTGTGTGTGTGGAAAATCTATGACAAAGTGGAAAAAATATCCGTGAGACACATTTCGTTCTTTAGAACTTCTTCGGACCAAAGTGATGTTTACGGTGATCAGACTACGCATGCGTTCGAATGAGAAGGGGGTGGTCCACCGGGGTAGGTTGTTTAAGTTCCACGTGCCATGCCTCTTCCAGATGTCTCCGTTATTTCCCTTTAACTCAAATCTCCAAGTTTTTGGTTCAGCACTGCTGTAGCCATGTATTAAATTCACAACTGTCGAGTCACAGGATCTAACCAACGCCTTTATCCACGTCCTCAAGCAAACAAAACGTTGTGAATATGACAATGAAGAGGAAGATAACAGTTCGAATAATGTAAATAATGTAAAGACAAGATTTTGAACAAAAATATTAACAACATCTGTCAAGTGCACCGAGAGGTAGGACACAAGATAAACATTTCCAAAACAGGAACTGCGATCCGGAATTGAACTGAAATCACCTACACTGAATCGAGCACAAAAATTAAGAATATAGATTTAATAAATAGTAAACATTTCAAATACCTCAGTGTATGGATCAGTTAACAAATTTAGTACGAGTCAGTCAGTTATGTGGCATGCGTGATACACGCTTAAACGATCATGTATATTTCGATACATGACTGACGAGGCAGATTTTTTCCGTAGTAGGTTGCCATTATATTTTGCAGTAGACCAGTTGCCATACAAAGCTATAGAACCCGGTCTGTCCTGCTATTTACTCATAGCTGGGAGAGAAGAAGAGGATTCATATATTGAAAAAGGGTGTAACGGAGAAATTTAAATGAAAACACAAATAAACACACATATATATATATATATATATATATATATATATATATATATATATATATATATATATATATATTATTGAAATTGGAGTATATTTGAATTTGCGAAATTAGATCTAAAAATTTTTGTTTACTGATGGAAATCTGATCTAGCCTATTTGGAACTGGGTGGTTGAAAAGACAATGAAAATGGTCGAAATAGATTTTACCGGTTAAAATTTGAAATAGAGCTTACTAAGGCTATGAGAACTTTGAAATTCACATGATTTTGGGTTGAAAACGGCACTCGTGATAATCGTGTGCGGGCCAAGGGTCGATTTATTATTAACCAGATTTATCTATATAAACGCGTAGTTATGCTGAAGAAGAAGCAGACGGTCGAGGGAAACGGAAGAAACCAGACGGGTGAGGCCGCGATCGGTTGGCCGTTACGGGTCGCGTTGCTACAATAATCAAAGAGTGGTTGGCTCGTCTGCCGTCGAAAGCAGTCGAGCTGGGTGGAGAGAGGTCGGAGATTGAAAGTGACGTCGGAGACTGGAACCGAGCGACCGCTAACATATGTTGTTGATATAAGTACGAAGAAGCGAATTACTCCTCCAACAATCTAAGACTACTACTGCTGCTATTATTACTACCACTGGAAACAGAAACGTCGAACAAGCTACAATAACCAGAGGTTGGTTTTTGCTCGTCTGTTTTCGAGTGCAGTTGAGCTGGGTGGAGAGATACCGGAGATTGAAAGTGAACAGAGTCGAAATGAAGGCTCAAAGAAGTGCGAAAGTGATGTCAGAGATTGGAACAAAACTTTCGCTAACATGTACTGTTAATATAAGTACCGATGCTTCTGCTACTACGAAGATTACTACTACTGTTACTACTGCCGAGGAGGAATGCAACTATAAACTTTAAGCCGTGCACAGGAATCTTTATCTCTCCATCGCAAGAGTCGCATATCGTTCTGCGACGATTTAACAAGTTAATCAAAACCCGCTCTCTCTCTGTCTAGAATCCAGTGTATGAGTTTTTCTTTTTCTTTTACTTCAAATAATTTTCTTTTCTGTAACCCGTTTCTTTTCTATACTATTCTTTTCTGCTATATAAAAGACATTAACAATTCAACCATTGAATAGTTGTTTGTTCGGCTTACTGCAGGTATATATTTTTTTTTTTGGTGCATTCTAAATTTCTTAGCGCATCTCTCTCCAGCCGTGTCTACATCTTCAGTCGAACGTGAATGAATGAATATCACTTCTGTTTTCTGGATCAAACCAAACACAACGTGGGCAGGAAGCAGGATTAAACCAGCGGACCTGTCGAATGATCTACGGATGCTCAGGGGACGTACGGCCACTCCCTTAAGATCGGTTAGGACCGAGTAGACGCCTCAACCCAGAGAGTAAGACGTCGGAGGTTGAGGGGCTTGGGCGAAAGTGTTAGAAGGGTATTAGCACGTAAGTACGAGACAGAAGGAAATTGAACATAGGATAGACTGTGCTAGGGGAAGCTTCGCACAAAACCGTATATTGAACAGCTAAATCATATTTTAATAGAAGTTTTAATAGAAAGACTTTAATAGAGAGATTTTAATAGAAGTTTTAATTAGAAGTTTTAACAAATATTTTAATAGGAAAATTTTAACAGAAGTTTTAATAGAAAAATTTTCTGCATTTCAACCGGCAGTAGCAATGGTTGCACGGCAAATGAATACCAAATATTTCCTTATAAAGATACGGTTAATAGTACCATTGCCATTGATAAGAAGAGCGTTTCACTCAGATAGGGTCTTCCGCAGAAAAAACTGACTTCCCCTCTCGCCACAATCTTTGTCTTTTCAAGTCTATGAACAACTGTTATTTATCCGACATAATTCTCACTTATTTTCTACTCTTACGTTCATACAACAGGATCATTCAGTAACCCACAACCATGATTGTCTCTTAGGTCTGTATTCAGTGAACATTTAATAATAAAAAACAAAACATTGTTTATCAAATGAGCCACCGCTTTACCTTATGTGCAGATAGAAAATCCCCATGTTGTGATTCACACGTAAGCGATTGAAAGTGTCAGCGGTATAGATTTGTACTGACCTCACCTGACCCCTGACCTTTTATACAACCTCTAGTGCCTGGTCTCCGTACCATGTGCACTGAAATATACTTGGTACTTTCTTGTAGCAATAGCTTATTGCTATTTCTCTCTTGTTTTTTTCTTCTTTTTTCTCTTTTATACACCGGTGTCACCTTGAGATTTGAGTGCAAAATGAGGAGAAAGAGGACGAAAAAAACAAACAAACAAAAAAAAAAAAAACACAACAACAACAACAAAAAAAAAAACTCGACAGGTCTTCTCCGACTCGACCCAGCTTGGTAGTGCTGCTGTCCGGCCGAGTACTCTGCCCATTCCTCGGTTGGAGGTTGTCTGTGATCACGACGCACGTCACCTAAAATATGCAGCATAGATTACCAGGTGAGCATGAGTGGTACATTAGTAACATTACTTTGACTGTGTCACTGCCAAAAATAAAATGAGAGAGAGAGAGAGAGAGAGAAAGAGAGAGAGAGAGAAGTGTCTCTATAATGAAGTGGTTAGCGTGCTTGTCTCATAAAACATTGACAGTGAGGTCATTTCTCACTGGTTGTTTCATGTAGGGGACCTTGTGCCAAAAGTGAATCAGTATAGAAAAAAAAATCGGTATCTAAAATAATAAAAAGAGAGAAAATGAGAGATATAAAAAAAGAGATGGGGGATAAAAAGTATAAGAGAATTACTAAGAAAGAAAGAAAGAAAGAAAGAAAGAAAGAAATAAAGAAAGAAAGGACAAAAAGAAAGAATGATGAACGGCTGTACAGGATTGCCGCCAATAGGCAGAGTTAGAGAGAGAGAGAGAGAGAGAGAGAGAGAGAGAGAGTGAGAGAGAGTGGGGGCTAGAGAGAACGGTCAGAAAAAAGCGATGAATAGAAAGAAAGCACGTTAGAAAAAATAAGAACGCTCAGAGAGAGATAGAGAGAGAGAGAGAGAGATAGAGAGAGAGAGAGAGAGAGGAGGGGGAGAGAGAGAGAGAGAGAGAGAGGGGGGATAGAGAGAGACAGAGCGAAGCAGAAAAGTGAGAGAATATGAATAAATGTGAGGCCAAAAGAGTGTGACTGAAAGACGATAGAAAGAGAAAAGAAACAAGAAAGAGGAGAGAAACATAAACAAAAGAAATAGAGCGAGAGAAAGTAAGGCAAAAGAGGAAGACAGAGTAAGAGAAATCTAAAGTGAGTGGATTTATAATTCTGTTAACCTAAGTGATGACCAATTCTGATTACATTTTGACTAGCATTTCTTTAATCTTCCTTCCGTTGTTTGGTGAGTGATCAAGGGATTAGAACGTTAGCGATTCCGACCGTGAGAGCCGGGGGTATCACTATGGTCGATTTGTCAAATATCAGTCTGGGAAGACGAATCCAACGTGGGGCACTATTAGTAAATTGAGAACCATACCACGAGTTCACGCAAATCATTGACTGAAATTAGGTAGACGAACCGATTCGGTAACTGTCGCTGTTTGTGCCAGCACCAAGTCACAAATAATGACTTTTCTCACTGTCTTTTACTATATTGTATAAATTTTCATTCAAGTTTTTTTTTGTGTGTCTGCCATCAAGACGGTTTTATATGTGTATCGTATGTTGTTAAAATTGAACCCACCAGAATGAATTAGATTATTATGTTGTTCAGAATTTAATGTCAGAATTAACCTTTTAATTGTGTTCTTGTTGATTGATTTGTTTAGCAGCATATCAAAACCTCTATGGGTTATTTAATGCCGAAATCTAAATACTTTGAACACAAATTTATGGTTTCAACTAAATATATTTTAAACGTAACTGTATCCTTTAATTTACAAATAAGTATTGTTGATAATTTTACTATTAGTATTGTATTGTTGACAATTTTACTATAAATATGTATTGTTGATAATTTTACTATAAATAAGCATTGTTGGTAATTTTACTATAAATATATATTGTTGATAATTTTACTACAAATAAGTATTTTTGGTAATTTTACTATAAATATGTATTGTTGATAATTTTACTACAAATAAGTATTGTTGATAATTTTACTATAAATATGTATTGTTGATAATTTTATTATAAATAAGTATTGTTGGTAATTTTACGATAAATATATATTGTTGATAATTTTACTACAAATACGTATTGTTGATAATTTTACTATTAGTATTGTATTTTTGACAAATATGTATTTTTGGTAATTTTACTATAAATATGTATTGGTGATAATTTTATTATAAATATGTATTGTTGGTAATATTTCATATATAAAAATGTATTGCTGGTATTTTTACTATAATTTTTTTTTATACTTTCATAGTTTTAATTTTGTTTTTTTTTTGGGGGGGCAGTATTTGCCCATAGGTAGGAAGCTAACAGGTGCTACCGCCCTATGTCAGGATAGACCTGGGAACAAAAGCAATTAAGATGTGGTTCTACACTCCTCAAAACACCCAATCTTCCGATCAGTGGCCTTGCTGTCGGATGTTGTTTATCGTCATACTTAGGACTATTGTGTTCTAATGTTACACACAAATATATTACTCATCCCAAATGATTAAAATGTCCCTTTTGTTAACTCTATACTAATCTTTTTCAGAATTTAACTTTAAACTTAATAACCCTCATCTTGAATATGAAAAAAGAAGAGATACGTTTAATTTTCTTTTGCATGAGTTTAAGCTTTCTTATAATACTTCTCAAACTGCTGCCAATATTAACAGAAAATGGTGTGACTAATGCCCATGTGGTCAGATAGCACGCCTGTTTCTGGAGTTCCTCAGTCGGGATACGAGTATTGAAAGTGGTAGAGGACGTTCATCTGCAAATGTCAATCAACATCTTAAAACATGAATCGAATAAAACAGACGTCAAAATGTCAGCATTTCAACAATACCGAACCATTCCAAGAAAATTGGCAAAGTGAAGAAAGTCGATAAATGGGTTCAGTGAAAGTCAAAGAGTTCGATGTTTTGAAGTGTGTCCGATTCAGCAGCTGCAAAATACGAATGATCCATTTCTTCAGTAGTTTGTTGTGATGAGAAATCAATGCCTTATGACAATCGTAAACGATCTCTTCAATGGCTTGATGATGATAAAGGACACAAGCAATTTCCAAAATCGAAATTGCACCAACAGAAGATTATGGTAATTATCTGGAAGCCAACCATGGGCGTTATTCATTTCAGCATTCTGAAACCTAACCAGAGCATGACTGCTGAGGTTTACTGCCAGACACTAGATAAAATGCACATTCACTTCAGCAAAAATCGACCAGCACTGGTTCATCGATGAGGTCCTTCATGACAGTTCTTGGTCACACGTTGCCAGGACCACACTGCAGAAGGCCACCGACTTGGCCCCATCCGCTATATTCCCCTGATCTCTCGCCCTTTGATTATTACCTTTTCATGCATATAACAATTTTTTAAGCCAAAAGACATTTCGTTGTAAAGAAGATGCAGAAACTGCATTCAAAGATTTCTTAACGTCTAAAAATTTAGAGTTTTTAACGTAAAGGCAAAAATAACTTTGTAATTCGTTAGCAGAATGTATAGATGTGCAGGATTTCTATTTTGACTGATTTAAACCCTGTTTAAATATATTCATTCAGGAATAACAATTGATTCTAAAGTTGGACATTATGTTCCGAACAACTTAATAACTCGTTATTTACATTATTCGGACTATTGTCATCATCTTCATCGCCATATTTATTACAACGTTTCGGCCGTTGTACGCTCCGGCCTTCTTCAGTTGGTTGGAATGTCTGACTGAACCCTTTACTTCGTCCACTGGGGTAGACTGTTCTAGTTCCACGTGCCATGTTTAATGGATGTCAGTTATCAGTTATCTCCTGTTAATTCCCCTCTCCAAGTTCTCCACTGCCTTAACCGGGTATTGAACTCACACTCTTTGGGTCCTGCCACTGGATCTAACTAACTGTGCCATGTGTCCTTGAGGCTCGTTTCCGAATATGGCCATCTGTTAGGGTGGCTAGCTAATCCTTGCTGCAGGAGCCTCCTTATGCATATTTATGATTCCCCAACACCGCGTGTTACTGTTTTTGCGAGAGATCTCAAAATCTGACGTAATCAATAAATAAATAAAAATAAAAAAGATTCAAAACTAACAAATTATGACTTTCAAATCTTCAGTTTTTCAGTTGTTACTCTTTACAAACGTTCGGTAAACAGCGCGCGTCGGAAATCAAGAATAAACTCATAGCATATTCTGAACACCCACAATTCACCCCAAACAAGGCGACAATGCCAATAAGCTATAAGTGGCATTTTTATCGATGGATCGTGTATACGAATTCCACTTGAGCTCCGGATTGAACACAGGTCCCAACAGACCTTCAAAGCATGCAATTTTGTTCAGTGTGACGGGAGAAAGCTGAGGGTTCGATTATTGATGATGAATTGTACGCTATTTACTGTTTCTTAAACACGACATTACATGATGCTTATCAAAAGTGTTTAAGTAAATCTTATTCATTGATTTGAATTTTAGTCAATCGTTTGTAACGCCAATGTTCTTCGTAGGCCCGCGAAAAGGTTTAAAATATACAACATTGTATTCACGCTGAAATGTCTGGAGTGTTTAATTTTTTACGGCTTATCAACCTTTTACAGGTCATTTAAATCCAGAAAAAACAAGGCGATGATGCTACTAAAACACAAGGGGCTACTGGGAGTGAAAGAGAATGAGAAAACTTTATAAAGAACCGAAAAGCCAGTCCTAAACAGAGAGCAAGGGATAAACGTATACTCATGTTCAAAAGAAGAGGGTAGGAGTGTGAACCGGGCGATAGGCGAACCTATCTATTCTTATTAGGGTTTAAATTTCATCGGAAACTTGTTCTTTATTTCGGATTAGTTATGAAGGGTTTTCTTCCCTTTGGCAGTTTTTTCACAATTAGAAACAGCTTCCAGTTTGATTTGTACTCTAAGATACCGAGACGCGCTGTCTTTATTTCAAAAATCATTTAGACTAACATCTCCATCTTTGATCTAGGTACTCCGCTTTGAACTACACATCCGCCATTTTCCCCCCTTTTTTGGTACATATGAACAATAGACTTAACTCCCTTCACGCTGTTATCTTTCATAATTTCATTGTTAAAAATCATAAGTTTTCTTGAGATTGTTTCCTGTTGACTTTTATTGAGACACTACCTGTAGTTACCTGTCCTTTGACTCATCACGAGTTCCCCCGCCCTTTGATAGGTCTTACTCACAGGACAGATTGAAGCCAAGATGGACAGAGGAAAACAACGCATAACCTACTTCGTAGTGAACTCGAGTTACGGATGACAGAACAAGTTTTAGAAGAAATAAAAAGACAAAAATTATTAGGAGCTAGAAAGGGCATGAAATTGTGGAGAGCCATGATCACCGACGTCCTAAAAGGAACGCTACATAGAAGAAGATATGTGAACAATATGGACGTCCTTATCGCGTATACTAATCACAATCGTGGCCGTGTGGTTAGAGCGTTCGAATTACGAAAATGAGACTCAGGTTCAAATCTCACCATAATTAATTTGTCAGGAAGATGTTATCGAGCTGCACTGGGTGATCCCAGCGTGCGGCATCTTTGAAAAGTGCCTGAAAAGCATATCACGGGTCGACCCAAGCCTTGTGAGTGCAATCGGGTAGATGGAACCCTTGGGTGCCGTCGATAGATCTGTTAGCACGAAGTCACAAGTCAACGTGGATGAGGGCTTGATCGTGCTGGCCCTGTTCAAATTGTTGATGACGCTAGATAACACGCTCTCTCCCAGAAACTGTGACTAAGGTCTGCTCAGCACAGTTGCAGTATAAACTACAATTGGGTTCTGTGGGTGTTGAATAAACGCAAATGCGCCTGAGCAAGCGTCTTCAATTGGTATTGGCTAGCCGCCCCAGTAGACAGACATCTTCGAATACGCGTGGCCAGCTAAATATACAATCACAAAAAAACAACATTGTTTCCGCCTCTTAAAATCCCTCCCAAATAATATCCCCACAAAAAACAAACACAACAACAAAAACAACAACGTACAAGTTGTCAATTAAACTACAGTTATTGTCTTTTCTAAGTGTTGACATCTATCTAGTGTTGGTGATTCAAAATTGTGAAAACGTT